CTTAGAGGTGAAGGTGGGACTAATCAATTAGAAGGCTACTGCAATAATCCAAGTAAGATGCGATAACTAGGGATGGCAGCCATGTAAGCAGAACAGGGGAAAGATGTGATGTTGTCAAGGCAGAATCAAATTAACAAAGATGTGACAATTGGATGTATGGAGTGAGAGTGAGAGAGAGAGACACAGAGAGAGAGAGAAGTCAAGCATATACTGAGATTCTGAACCTTGGTGACTAGAAGGATAGTGGTACCTTTGACAGAAATAAGTTCAGAAAAGGGTACCGGGACAGCTAGGTGGCGCAGTGAATAGAGTTCTGGCCTTGGAATCAGGAGGACCTGAGCTCAAATCTGGCCTCAGACACCTGAAACTTACTAGCTGTGTGACCTTGGACAAGTCACTTAACCCTGATTGCCTCACAAAAACAAACAAACAACTCATGGCAGAAAAGGGAAAGGTTTAAAGAGAAAGATGAGTTATGCTTTGGATATGCTAATTGTGAGATGCCTATGGGGCATCTCATTTGAAATGTCCAATAGGCTCATTTGTGACTGGAACTTAGGAGACTATAATCTGATATCTGATAAATAAATCTAGGAGTCATTTGCATAGAGATGATAATTAAATCCATGGTAACTAATGAGGTCACCAAGTAAGAAAGTCTAGAGAAGAAAAGATCCCGGATAGAGGCTTGGGGTATACCTACAGTTAGGGAGTATAACAGGAATGGAGATCCATTAAAGGAGAACCAAGAAAGAGCAGTATTATGAAAACCCAGAGAGTTCTTACCCCTTCTAAAGAAACCTGAGTTCATTTTAGGAGGTTCACAAAACACTTTACAATCATTATCTCTCTTGATTCTCATAATAACAGTATTAGGAAAGGACTACTGGCATTAAACATTTTATAGCTATAGAAACCAAGACTCGGAGAGACTAATTGACTTACTAAATCACATAACTAGCAAATATTTGACGCTGGAAACCAATGCAGAAAGTTCCTAACTCTAAGTCTAAAACTCTTTGCTTCTCATTTCTCTATTGTTTGCAAACAGCTTAGTTTTCAGTTTTTCTAATATATTCTACCCTTGGCAACTCAATATTTATGGGGTTGTCACCCCTTTCATAGGGTCACAGTTCTAGACAAGGACAGGGCTTTGCAGGTCATCTATCTAGTTCAACTCTCATTTTACAGATGAAAAAACTGGGACCCAGGGGAGTTAGGTGACTTGCCCAAGGTTACAAGGGTAGGATTCAGAGGGGAGATGTGAACTGTGGCCCTTTGACACTAGGGCTAGCACTTTTTCTGTTATAGCATGCAACCTGCCCTTGAGCAGAGCATCTATCCATTCCTTCTACTTCTCTCAGAAGAAACACCAAATAGGTTTTCAAATCAAGTCTCACTTGCACAAGGAAGAAAAGAAATGTCAAAATATAAATAAAAAACAGGTGACAGATGTTTGGAGGAAGTGCACTGGTCTTTTTAATGGAGAAAGTCTTTAGGGAAATCCTAAGGTTACAGATTAACAATAATATTTTGTTCCTCAGTTAGCAAAAGCAAAAGCACTTTGTTAATGGATAAAAAGGTCACCTACTAGCTATGGCTCCAAATTGGCTGACTTTAAAAGTAATTATTAATTATCTAAGTAGGGCTTAAGTAAGGTCTTGACGTCATCTTTAGATATTAGGTTTCATTCAGCTACTAAGTCTTGCCCTGCCAAATGTCATTGTTAAATGTCTAAGAAAAGGCACACAATTACTTCCAGCAGCATGAACAGGGTGAAACAGTGGAAAATAGGATTAAAGATGATGACCTATGAGAGGAAAAAGACAAGAACAGGAACAACACAAACAGGAACTGTTTAAAAATACATACCTGTCTGAAACAATTTTAATGAAGCCGGTCCTAAGGCAAGAGAGATGAACTTGTCAACTGTTTGATGGTTTCCCCTCCATTTCAGGCTTATGGTTAAAGCTCTAAATGATATGATATAATAATACACAGAATCTCATAAAAATGTCAGGTTCTAAAGCTGATTGTCTTCTGTACAAATGTCTTAAGGAATCTGAATCTGGTTATTCCACTCTTTGATCTATTTGTTTACTTCAATTAAATCAATTCAATTCAACCAACATTTATCAACCACCTACTCAGTGTAAGGCATGGTGCTAGGCCTTGGGAAAACATACACAAAAAATTAAAGAGGCCTTGCCTTGAAGGAGTATAAATTCTGACCTATCTTAAGCTATGTCCCTTGTACAAGTCCCTACACCTCTGTGAGCTTGTCTCTTCCTCTGTCAAATAGAAATAATAATCCTTGTTCTGCTTTCCCCACAGGGATGTTATGAGGAAAGCACTTTAGACCAGCAAAAAAATTACTGATAATATTTATTAATATAATATTATTATTATTTATTAATATAAAATTATTATTAATAATAACTAACATTTATGCAATGTGCCAAGCATTGTGCTAAGAGCTTTACAATTATTATCTCATTTGACCTTCACAACGACCGTAAGAGGTAGATGCTATTATTATCCCATTTTACTGATGAGTAAAACTGAGTCAAAGAAAGATTAAGTGGTCACACAGCTAGTAAGTGTCAGAGGCTGGATTTTTAATTCAGGAGAGATTATGGGCCTTGTGAGTAGTTTCTGTGACCCAAAGAACAAACAAAAAAATCATCAAGAAAAATAAGGCATTTTCCCCTCTTTTTCTCCCTGAGAAATTCCCTCCCCCATTACCAATACCCTCAACCACTTTCTTCTCTCAGCTCCCACGTCACATCCACGTTTATTAAACCAATCACTATAATAACTTCCAAACCAAACTACTTAATAGTAAAAACAACAACAACAACAACACAAAACCCCCCACAAAAATAACCCGGTAGGCTGAGTTGTTGTTGGTCCTTCGTTCTCAAAGAGGACCAGGACATCAGGGAAGTACGTGAGAGAGGGCTGTACAAAGTCACCAGACTCAATTTTTTCCTCTCTAGAGCCACCTGGTTCCAGTGGTAACACATAGATCAGGACAACTAGAGATGGCCCTGGATGCAGTGAACCTTGGTGACTAGAAGGATAGTGGTACCTTTGACAGAAATAAGTTCAGAAAAGGGATACGTTTAAAGAGAAAGATAAGTTATACTTTGGATACGGTAATTGTGAGATGCCTATGGGGCATCGCATTTGAAATATCCAACAGGT